GGAGGACAGCTGGACACGAAGGCCTCCACCTCTGTTTAATGGCAGACGGTTTTTCTTCACAAAAATGACTTCCTTTACGTTCCTCTCTATCAAGGATGAGAACATCTTCATCCCTGAAAGAGTGACCGCTGGCCTGTAGATGAGTGTAAACTGCAGAGTCCTGGCCTGTAGTTGAGTGTAAACTGCAGAGTCCTGGCCTGTAGTTGAGTGTAAACTGCAGAGTCCTGACCCGACGAAGTAGCTCCTCTGTGCTGGCTCATTCTTTTGAACAGAGCCAGCATAGACGGTGGAGGCCTGCGTGTCCAGTTGTCCTCCTACAACGCTGTTATTGCAAGTATGACTCCGCCCCCTGTGAGCAAAAGGTGTGAATCAGGGCCCCAATGATACCAACACAAAGAGGGCAAAAACAAAAACAAGGGGACTTTGAGCCCCGCCTGCATTCACTACATACACATGACACGACACCTAAGAACCACAGCATCCAAACCAATAAGTCAGGTGATGGGGCACACACTCTATGAACAATAGAGCTAATCAAGCCTATTGTTAAGCGATGGCCCTCTTTTGCATGTGACTCACCTGTTTGTCCATGTGGAGGCAGTGCTTATAAGGCTGAGTTCACCTGAAACTCAGACTGAAGAAGTCTCTTGGACGAGAGAAGAAACGTTTCACTAAAGAAGAACCCATCCAGAGGAACTACTTATTTTTTCTTTTTGATTTTTTTCTACCTGCATAACTGAGATGCATCAGGACATTAAAAACCAAAGTAATTACACTGAAACATTTAAAAAGAACTAATGAATAGATCTCTGTACTTACATGAAGAAAACGTTGTAAAAATAAGTTAAACATTTTAAAAAGTATAAAAGCTGTAAAAACAAAGTCAAAAACACTTGTATGTGTGTACGTGTTTTAGCTGCTTAATCAATCAATAAAACAGAATATAATTCAACAGCAAAGACCTGTTAAATATTGACATCAGAATGAATAAAACTGTAAAACTGCTGCTCACGTGTTGTCCGTTTATGACTGACCTGATAGATTACTGTGAATAATGCAGTGTGTGTGTGTGTGTGAGTGTGTGTGAGAGAGAGAGAGAGAGAGAGAGACCTAGTGCAACCCTTGAGTCGGGGTGGTGGTCGGCCTTGGGCCATTCAGATGACTTTTCGAGCACATCACGAAAAAGCTCTGCAGCCTCATACCATTTAGTTTTTGCTTCTCTGTTTCTCATGAGCCCCGGGATGGATTTTAATGAAACATTCAGAAAATAAGAATTCAATGCTCCTTCAACCACCCCATATTCAAGATGGCCGCCATAGTCGACTGATTTCAGAAAACACAAAAATGGCTATGACTCAGCCTAAATTACAGATACTGAGCTAAAATTTGTTGTGGTGGTAGCTGAGGGTCATCTCAAACATACTCGGAGACTATAGCACAGAGTTGCACATAAGCGGTGCGCAGGCACGGTCAAAAAAGAAAAAGTGCACCAGATGGAATGTCATAAAGCTCGTACTTAAGATTGTACCTGAAATTGTGAAAACAACAGCTAGCAGGGTCGCTATGCGACCTGATTTCTTACAAATAAAAAAAAACAAAATAAAAAAAAATCCAGCCTCACTGGTGTGACTGGATTGTTGTTCTGCTTTCAACGAATCAGACGAACTCCAGAGCTGTTTTATCCAATCAGAGCAGAGCAGGGCGGGACTTTCGGAGAGACCAGTTCAGCAGAGACAGGTTGAAGCAGCGGCTCTAGCAGCGGCTGCAGCGATCAGTCCTGACATCTCCTCCTGAACTTTGCTCCTGAACTACCAGAGACTTTGGTCTCTAAAACCTAACTTTATATTAAATATATGTTCAGAGCGTCGTTATCGAACAGATCTGTCCAAATTTGCATTAGTGACTAAACTCTCTCCTCCTGAGGTGGGAACGCGCCTCAGCGCCGCAGGCTGTGAGTCTTTCTGTGAGATTCACTGTTCGAGTTCTTCTAAAACATATTACCTCTAACAGAAGAACATTTATTTGCTCCATATCAAAGCAAAGATGAGTCTCTGTTTAACACCACCCAATCCAAAAATAAAAATAAAAACATGCCATGTTCTCTAGGTGAATGAGTTTTAAAGGCACAGTGTGTAGGATTTGTTGTTTTCAGCGACATCTAGTTGTTGAGTGGTTGAGTCATCCTCCCTGGTC